GGCACGCACGTACAAGGGGCAGCTAGGAAACCGGGTGCTTTGGGATCTGCACGAGAGCAAAGACGTGTACAGATCTATGTGGCAGCTGCCGGCGCTGGCGTGGCACGGCGGGAGGCAGGCTGGAGAGGGGTCTGCATCCCAGGGGGAGTGCAACGCCGTTGGAGGGGTAGGTGTGAAAGTGTCGGCCAGATCTGGGGAGACAGATTGGGCAACGGCACATCGACGCTTGGGGCATGTGGCAATGCCCTTGCTGAAGCAGCTGGAGAAGGATGGAGCCGTTAAGGGTCTGAAGCTGAACGGACAGCCACCCGATGATAACTGTGAAATCTTTTTGATCTCAAAGTTTACCCGTTTTCCCTTCCATAGTGTGGCTGGCAGGAGCAAGAAGCCTTTGGAGCTGGTCCACATGGACTTGGTGGGGCCGCTGCCGGTTCAGGGGCACAAGGGGGAGCGGTACTTTCTGACCATAGTGGATGATTGGAGCAGACTCATGTGGGCGTATCCGCTGAAGCAGAAAGATCACGCCGCCTCCACGATTCGGGACGATTGGCTGCCGTTCGTGGAGAAGCAAGCGGAGTGTGTAGTAAAGCGGATTAGGACAGACCGGGGTGGTGAGTTCCTTGGAGCTGAGATGACGGCCTGGCTCAAGAAGCAGGGCATCCAGAGGGAGCTGACCACGGCTTACACCCCACAGTCGAACGGTGTAGCAGAACGGGCGAACCGGACAATTCTGGAGACAGCTAGGGCGCTGCTCATAGAATCTGGGCTGAGCAACTCGATGTGGCCCCATGCTGTCCGGCACGCCACCGTCGCTAGGAATAGGGTGCTCACCAAGGTTGGGGATGACTCGTGGGTGCCGTTGGAGAGGTGGCTTGGGAGGAAGCCGCCGGTGGACATGCTGAGGGTGTTTGGCTGCATGGCAGTCGCCCACGTCCCCAAGACCTACCGCAGTAAGTTGGGGGCAAGTGCAATCTGGTGTGTGCATTTGGGGCTGGCTGCTGAGAGCAAGGGATGGCTGCTGTGGGAACCATCCAAGGGTGTGTTGTTTGACAGCAGGGATGTGAAATTCATTGAGGGCATGATGTATGGGAGCTGGGAGAAACAGCCGGAGGCAAGGGTGTCCCAGCAAATGGAGCAGATCACCATGCAGCTGGACCTGACTCCTAGTGTGTGGGAGGATGGAGAGGAGGCACCTGCTGGTGGAGAAAATGGTGTGGAAACTGGCGGCAGCACTAGTGGAGCTGCTGGATCCGAGGGAGGAGAGCAGCAGCAGGGAAAAACTAAGAAGCCGAAGGGTGTCGTTATGAAGGGATGGGAGACACCCGTCTCCAGGCCAGGACGTACCCGTATGGCTACTAAGAAGCTGACTGCAGGAACTGATGCAGCAGAGCAGCAGCTAGGGACCGAAGAGGCATTGCTGATTCTACCGCATGGCTATGACCCGGATGAGGAGGATGAGCCTGCGTACTGTTTTCTTGCCCCTGCACCAGAGGAACCAGCTAGCATGGAGGAGGCACTAGCTGGACCAGATAGGGACAAATGGCTGGCTTCTAGGGATGCTGAGTACCAGAGCCTGCTAGAAAATGGGACATGGAATCTGGTGGTGCTGCCTGATGGGAAGAAAGCAATACAATGCAAGTGGGTGCTGAGGATCAAGACTGACGACAAGGGGCAGGTCACCATCTACAAGAGTAGGTTGGTGGCTAAGGGGTTTATGCAGAAGGAGAAGCAGGACTTCAACGAGATCTTTGCTCCCACTGCCAAACCCCCTACCCTCCGTGTCTTGTTGGCAGATGCAGCTGTTAGTGGGAAATTCATCATTCAGATGGATATTTCAACGGCATTCCTGAATGGGATTTTAGAGGAGGATGTGTACATGATGCAGCCGCCTGGGTATGAGGATGGTACGGGCAGGGTGTGCAAGCTCAACAAGTCCATCTACGGCTTGAAGCAGGCGCCACGCTGCTGGTACCAGAAGTTGGCAGCTGTTTTAGAGGAGATGGGATTCAGGACCAGCAGCTGTGATGAGAGCCTCTTTCTCAAGGGCGAGGGGGAGAAGCTGGTGCTGTTTCTGGTCTACGTGGACGACATTCTTCTCTTCAGCAGCAGCATGAAGGAGATCCAGAAAGTGCAGCAGCAACTGATGGAGAACTTCAAGTGCAAGAACCTTGGGGAGGTAAAGTACTACCTCGGGATGCACGTGGAGAGGGATCCTGATCACAGGTGGTTGAAGCTGCACCAGGAGAAGTTCATCAAGGAGCTGGGGGAGAAGTATGGGATTGAGAATGAGCGCAAGGTTGCAACTCCCCTGCCAGCAGAATTCAAGCTTGTGAAGGCTGCAGAGGATGAAGGGGTTGAAGCCGAGGAGCAGCAGCAATTTCAGTCCTTGGTGGGCAGCCTCTTGTACGCAGCAGTTCACACGAGGCCCGACATCTCTTTCTCGGTTGGGCAGCTGGCTAGGGTGGTGCAGAATCTATCAGAGGAGCAGGTGGATGCAGCTGAGCGTGTGGTGAAGTACCTGAACTCTCACCCAAGCATTGGAGTTCAATACTCCGCATCTGCACAGGTGAAGCAGAAAGGGGTGGAGGTGCTGAAAGAGAAGGGGGAGAGGCTTGGAGAAGGCAAGCTATTTCTCACTTGCTTTACCGATGCTACGTGGGCTTCTGAGAAGGAGGATTCCTCATCTGTGGGAGGATACATCTGCGTAGTTGGGGGAGGACCTGTTAGTTGGAGGTCCAAGAAGCAGACGGAGACAGCACTCTCTTCCGTAGAATCAGAGTACATGGCGATGTTCCATGGGGTGAAGGAGGTGATTTGGCTGAGGAGGCTGTTAGAGGAGATTGGCCAGGAGCAGAAAGTTGCTACGCCGCTGTTTTGTGATAGCAAGGGGGCTCTTGGGATGGCCAGGAACGCTGTGCTTCATGGGCTGAACAAGCACATGCGTATCAAGTGGCACTGGCTGCGTAAGGAGGTGAAGAGGGGGACGGTGAATCCGATCTACATCAAGACTCACCAGCAGCCAGCAGACTTTCTCACCAAGAGGCTTGCGGATGAGCCTCATTGGCGTTGTGTGCGCATGAGTGGAATGAGCATGAACTAGCATGGAATGATGGGGATGCAGCCGGCAGGCTGAGGGGGAGTGTGTTGGGTGCAAATGCACATTGCACGACATCCTGCCGTCTGTTTGTACGAGTATGCGTGTGCAAATGCATTTGCGTGTGAATGGTGTGTTCGTGTGTTTGTTTGCTTTCGCAATTTTCGCTTGAAGCATTTGCAGGTACTCGCGCAATGCGCGCTTCGGCACAACATTGTACGCGCTATGAACAGTGCAAGCAGAAAGGACGAGCTCGCAAAGGAACCCAAGATGGAAGCTTTGCAGTTCGGTTGAGTTGATTGCGCAGATTCAGTTCTATCCAACTCGAAATTGTACTGTTTTGTTTGGTTAACTATAGTGTAGCAGGGAAGGCACTATAGGGGTACAATTTAGGTAAAGGTTGGATGTTGTTTGTCTGTATCTGCATGCTACAAGGCCAGGGGAAACCAGCGGAACCAGCATTTGGCTGGTTGGGCAAAGACAAAACAGGTTCTGTTTTTAGAACCTGAACCTGGTTGTTGTTTTCCCAGGTTGGAAAAACAGAACCAGAGGTTGTTTACCAACCTACCACCTGCTATTTTGTCCAGCCAGGTTGGTTCTGTTGCTTGGAATTATTTGGGATCATCCCTGGTTGTTCCCAGGTTGATTCCCAAGGTCCTTGCTAGCTAGAACTATTTAGTCCTTCTCTGTTTGTACCTGGATATAGTCAAATTGATTCATGCGAATTCCTTCCTCGCTGGAATTTCGTTTCTACGCGGTTCGTTGGCGGAATGCTACCCGAGTCAACGCTAGTACGCTAGCACTCTAATGCTAGGCAAACACCGTCCGAGCCATAACTTTGTAATGGCAGAACTTTTCGCGAGGCAACTTGGCTCATTTTAAAGCTCTTGGAGCGAGATTCGATATAGCGAATTCTCAGCTTAATCCGATCGACGGTCTGCACGGCACGCTGCGCGACGTTCAAGGTGCTCTTGCTGTTTTGACTAAGTCCTTCTTGATCCCTCTCTCTACAAACTCGGACCCGAGGATAGGGGCTGGTCTTGTACCAGGCACCCAGGGACCCTTGGAGGTGACCCCGAGGAGAGGTTTTAAGTTTGATTAAGTCCTAATAGCTTAAGTTTATTAGGCCCTTACACCAACATTAGGTAAGCTATGGAGATGCTCTTAGTGCCAACCAAATGGGTAAGTTACACACTTAATCTTAGAACCAACCTTATGGGTAATCTACGCACTAACTCTTAGTACCAATCATATGGGCAAGTTACGCAATTTTTCCTAATACCGACTATATGGGTAAGTTACACACGTTCTCATAGTACCAATTATATGGGTCACTTACGCACTTACTAATAGTACCAACTATATGGCCATTATACATTTACTCTTAGTACCAACCATATGAGTAATGTACGCATTTACTCTTGGTATGAACCGTATGGGTAATTTGCGCACTTGCCAGCCATATGGGCGAGTTGCAGACTTTTTAATAGTATGAATCATATAGGTAAGTTACGCAGTTACTTCTAGTACCAACCATATTGGTATTTTTTGCACGTTCTCTTGGTACCAACCATATGGGTAAGTTACGCAGTTACCTTTGGTACCAATCTTATTTGTAGTTTATGCACTTTCTCTTAGTACAAACCAAATGGGCATACTATGCATATACTCTTAGTACCAACCATATGGATAACTTACATACTTACTCTTAGTACAAACCATATGGGTAGGTACTCACTTACTCTTAGTGCCAACCGTATGGGTAATCTACGCACTTACACATAGTATTAACCATATGAATAAGTTACGCAGATACTTTTAGCACCAACCATATGGTTAAGTTACGGAAATATTCATAGTTCCAACAATTTGGGAAAGTTACGCAGATACTCTTAGTGCCATCCAAATGGGTAAGTTACGCACGTAATCTTAGTACCAACGTTATGGGTAATCTACGTACTAATTCTTAGTACCAAACATATCGGTAAGTTACGCGGCACGTTGCAAATAGGGCGGCGCGCAGGGCAGGGCTCACGCGTGCGGGCAGGGCAGGGCAGTCGTGCGTGCAGGGCAACAGCGCGGAGCAGAGCAGGGCAGCCGCGCGTCCAGGGCAACAGCGCGGAGTAGGGCAGGCGCATGGGGCAGGGCTCACGCGTGCGGGCACGGCAGGGCAGCCGTATGTGCAGGGCAACAGCGCGGAGCAGAGCAGGGCAGCCGCGCGTGCAGGGCAACAGCACGGAGCAGGGCAGGCGCACGGGGCAGGGCTCACGCGTGCGGGCAGGGCAGGGCAGCCGCGCGTGCAGGGCAACAGCGCGGAGCAGAGCAGGGCAGCAGCGCGTGCAGGGCAACAGCGCGGAGCAGGGCAGGCGCACGGGGCATGGCTCACACGTGCGGGCAGGGCAGGGCAGCCGTGCCTGCCGAGCAACAGCGCGGAGCAGAGCAGGGCAGCCGTGCATGCAGGGCAACAGCGCGGAGCAGGGCAGGCGCACGGGGCAGGGCTCAAGCATGTAGGCAGGGCAGGGCAGCCGCGTGCGTGGGCACAACACGGCGCAGGGCAGTAGTAGAAGTGCAGCAGCAGCAGCGTAAGCGGCAGCAGCAGCTGAACAACAGCAGCAGCTTAGCAGCAACAGCAGTGCAGCAACAGTAGCACAGGCGGCACTAGGGCAGCAGGGACAGTGCGCCGGCAAACCGCAGGGGCAGTGCAGGTGCGCGGGCGGCAGGGCAGGTGCGCGCGGGCCTGGCGCGGGCTGTACGAGCTGCGCGCAGGCCTGGCGCAGGCTGTACAGGCTGCGCGCGGGCCTGGCGCGGGCTGTACGGGCTGCGCGCGGGCCTTGCGCGGGCTGTACGGACCGCACCCGGGCGGCGCGCGTGCTGTACGGGCTGCGCGAGAGTGGCGCGCTGGGCTACGGGGTGCGCGGACTGGGCAGCGGGGCAGCAGGGCTAGGCAGTAAAAATCGACGCGCCTAGGGGCACGATTCGGGCAGGAAATTACAATGGGCCCTCTAAAAATTTTGGTCCTAAGAACCTAACAGCTCTTAATACAATGTTAGAAGTAGTGAAGGATGCCGGTGCTAAGTACAAGGAGCTGGTGGATTTGAGATGATAAAGTGAGGAATGAGTGAGATGAGCTAGTGGAGTGAATGAGTGATTGAGTGAGGTGATCGAATGGGGGAGTGGGGTGTGCGAGTGAAAGAGTTGGGTGTGCGAGTGAAAGAGTTGTTAGTGCGAGTGAAAGAGTTAGGTGGGCGAGTGAGGGAGTGAGGTGAGTGGGTAAAGGAATGAGGTAAGAGGGAATGAGGAAGTGAGATGAGCAGATGATGGAATGAGGTGAGAAATATTGAGGATTTGAGACGAGAGAATGGGAGTGTGATGAGAGAGTGAGGTGTGACAGAAAGAGATGAGGGAATGAGGGAATATAAGAAGTATCACCATGCCAACCTTTCTCATCATCTCATCTCTCCTTATCTCGCCTGTAGAAGATTTTATCTTTGTATTCCCGCATAGCATATTGTGTCCCTGTACTCTCACTCTGTTTCTGCTACCATCCATGTGCGCAGTAATGATGATTGGGAGGCATCCTTGTCATGTCTAGAGTCACTCACGCAAGACCAATTGCAGTCTTCCCTCTCCACCCCTCTCAACGAGAGAAGCAGGGGCAGGGGCAGGGGCAGGGGGTGAGGACAGGGAAGGGGGAGGAAGATGGGGAGGAGAAGGGGGATAGACTGAGTATAGAGATGAAGGGTTAGGAGATGAGGGAGAAAGAGGGGGAGGGGGAGAGGCAGGGTATGGCAATGAAGGGGCAGGAGATGAGGGAGGAGGAGTTGGAGTGGGAGGAGTAGGGGGAGGAGCAGAGGGAGTAGGAACTACTCATAAACAAAAACAACCACAACATTATACTAACCCACCAAAATAAAAACAAACAGCCCACCGAGATAGTAGCTGTCACCATATTCCGAAACGTCAACTTTCCCCATGCGAAATCAGTTGAAACATTCTCGTCCCCTTATACTAACCCACCAAAACAAAAGCAAACAGCCCACCAAAATAGTAGTTGTTAACATATTCTGAAATGCCAACTTACGCCATGAGAAATCAGTTGAAACATAATTCTATGGGTCATACTTGCTCGTGAACGCTCGTGAGACTCATGGTGTTTCGTGGCGACAGCTCATGATAAATTATGGAAACAAATTATATACATTTGTTAGCTATAGGTTGCAGTGGGGTATCTGATATAAGATACAACCCTTTTATGGGTAATACTTGTACCTCTCACTTTCATAGTTCAACCACTTCCGTTGCTTGTGATCCTAACATGGTAACCGAGGCTAGGTTAGGTCATGCCGTACCTGTCGTACCTACTGCCGTACCTAGGTCAGGTTTCCACCACGCTGCCCCTCACGCGCTTCCTTGCACGCGCCATTACCGCTGCCCCGCGTGCGCCCCTTGTGCTGCCCCACGTGCGCCCTTGTGCTGCCATGCGCGCGCCCTTCGCGCTGCCCTGCGTGCGCCGTTTGCACTGCTCTGCGCACGCCCCGTGCGTTGGCCCACGGGGGCAATTCGTGCAGCCGCTGCCTGTGCGCCGCATGCTGCTCTGCCCCGCGCGCTCGCCCTGCCCCGTCGGATCGTGCTGCCCCACGCGCTCGCCCTGGCCTACCCCTTTGCGATGCATCACGTGCGTCGCCGCCGCTGCTTGCGTGCCGCCCCTGCCTCGCATGCTACTGCCGCCCTGTGCGCCACCCTGCCTCATGCGCCGCCGCTGCTCCGTGCGCCGCCCTGCCTCATGCGCCGCCGCTGCCCCATGCGCCACTGCTGCCTGCGCAACCATGGCGCCGCCCCTGCCCAGTGCGCCGCGGCTGCTTGGCGCCACTATTACCCACGAGCAACGCAGCCGCCGTCGCCGCCTTCTCTACAGCTGCTGCCGCCGCCGCCTTCGCTACAATTGCTACCACGCCCGCTACTACCGCTGCCCCTGCTGCTACACCCGCTGCCGCTATAGCCGCAAAAGCTCCCGCTACAGCCGCAACAGCTGCCGTTACAGCCGCAGCAGCTGCTGTTACAGCTGCTACCACTTCCCCTGCCGCAGCGGCTGCCGTTGCCACCGCTGCCTCTGCTGCTGCCGCATCTGCCTCTATTGCAGCTGTAGCCGCCGCCTCTGCCGCAGCCGCCGCCGCTGCTGCTGCTACAGCCGCTTCCTCTACCGTTGTAGCCACCGTTGCCTCTACAGCCGCCACTGTTACTGCACCAACTACAAACCCCACTCCCGCGTGTGCCGAACTATCGTGCGGCCTCAAGTCGCCCGTGTACAACTTTCGGCACACCCTTGCCGCTAAGACATGCTTTCATGATTGCGCCATAAGCGCAACAGTGCTCGGCACCGTTGCGTAATCTTTGACCACCTCACTTAGGGGCAAAATCCTCGAAACTCCCACGAACAGACGCGAAATTGCAAGCGCACTTCTAAAAACGCATATAACGCACCCCACAAACTTCACCTGAAAACTCGTTAACTCAATCCTTCACTTACGAAAACTCATGCTAACTCACAAATACAAACTTTCACGAAAACGCTCATAACTCTTGAACCGTTAAAACCATTCATGAACCGTAAACGCTCTACGTAAAGCATAGAAACCCGCATCTCACGTTCAAAATTCTACTTTCATTTGAAACTCATCCTTCAGTTGTAGTTGCTACGAACCACTCGAACCACGCAAGAAGGGAGAGGGGGGCGGCGCTGCGGCCTTGCGGAGAGGGGGGGCCGCGGCGCCGCGGCCGCGCGGAGAGGGGGCCGCGGGCCGCGCGGAAAGGGGGGGGCGCGGTGCTGCGGTTGTGCGGAGAGGAGGGGGCACGGGTTGCATGGAGAGGGGGCCGCAGGCAGCACGGAGAGGGGGAGCCGCGACGCCGCGGCCGCGCGGAGAGGGGGGGTTGCGGCCGCACGGGCAGGGGGCCGCGGTGCCGCCGTCGCCCAAAGTGGGGGGCGCGGCGCCGACGTCGCGCGAAGAGGGGGCCGCGGCGCCGCGGTCGCGGGGAGAGAGGGAGCCGCGGCCGCGCGGAGAGGGGGGCGCGGCCCACAGTGCCACGGCAGCACGGAGAGCGGCCGCGGCTGCACGAAGAGGGGGCCGTGGATCAAGGGATTTTGTATTTTCATATTTGGTTGATCAACAAGCATTCGTTGCGGTTAAGTAAGACTTTGGTCACACTTCACCCAAGCGGCACCTAAGCACTTACCTCACTTGCATTCGTGCCCTTGAGTCTTGACTGCTCTCAGCCGCCTCCCTCTTTGGCATTACCAAATTCCTCCTCCACTCGACCACCTGCACCCCTCCCCCCTCCGTTTCCACCCCGTCAAAGGAACCATTGCAATGGGAGAGAAAGTTGCTTGTGCAATGTGGTAGCAGCCGCACGGGTGAACCACCCTCAACCCCCTGTACCCCTTGGCCACACCTGCTGGATCCCCTTGGTCATTGATGCCCTCACACCACCCCACTTCACCACTTCCAAGCCAGCCTCTCGCGGTGCTAGGATAATGCCTAAGGACAACGGAGGAGGGCAGGAGGCAAGGATGGGACGAGGAAGGGAAGTGTAGTCGTTTTTTATTGAAGTTAATCGCTAGTGCCCTGTGCAGCGAGAAGAGGGTAGAGATAATGTGTTGGAAAAATGGATCCAATTTGAGGAGCAGATTGGTGGATTGGGTGAATTGATGGAGTCATGAATCTGGGCAGCATGGTGCTGGTCGGGTGCTTCCCTAAACATGCAAGTCATAGCCTATCCCATATAGAGCTCTACCAGTGGCTCTAAAACCGCAAAGCAATCGCCAAGGTGTACTTCATGGCCGATACCCCCCACCGGAGGGTTTTCAGCTGCTGCCGCCTCACCCAGCTTCATTAGTAGGCCACCGATTGCGCTCTCTGCAGAGCAACCGACCACCGCTGCCTGAACTGATGCAGAAATTTAGCGGCATGATAGGAGTTAGAGTCAGCGTTGAAGTGGCGCCGAGCCGCCGTGTCTGCCAGGAGTTTCAGGAAGACGGGGACCTCGGCACATGGGCAGCCATAGGTCTCCACCGCCAACGGAAAGAAGCCAACGGTCTCAGATCTGTTCGCGTAGTGTTTAATCTTTTTGTGTGCCTGCTCTCTTGCCGCCCATCACCTGCCTTTCTGCGCCTCTGGGTCCCGTGTGCTGATGGGGTCTGTCACGGTCACATGACACACCCAAACTGCTCCACTGCTCCTGTCAGTCATGGTGAAGTCAGCCGTCTGCTCCTCGATGGGACAATGTGCGGCCGACTCGCTGTGAACTATGAAACCCGCATCCTGCGCCATACTAATGCATGCATCCCGGAGCTCGTTGTGGGCGTTGATGCGATGCTTGCCGGTCCCGCAGCGGAGGAGGTGGTTTGGGAGGCGAGGGTCTGTGATTGCTATGTGGTTTGCGCAGTCACAGTTTTTGGGAGTGGAGAAGGGCAAGCCAAGCCGGAATCTGACAGCATTGGCGAAATGTACCGGTCCAATGCGCCTTGTTGGAACTATGGGTATCGCTGTCAACCAGTCCCCCGTGC